CATTTAACTGTTCATTGTGGGGAACCATGAATACTCCACATAAACAATTTTCAAACTTTTTGGTCTCAAGCCCCCCTTTAAAAATTCTTGAGGACTCTGAAGGCTTTTGTTTGCATGGGTTATTTCTATCAGTATTAGAAATTAAAAACTGACAAATGTTTATAAACTTAGAAATGTACAAGCGCACACTCTGTAAGGGGGGATAAATGTCCTTACTCATCATGTAGCTCTGGTTAAACTCTGAAACTGTAATGTTCATTTGTGAAATGAGAGGGAAAGGGATGACTAGTGGCTTTTTTAAGAATTATTTAATTTAGCTCTATTTATTTATTGATTCATTTATTAATTATTTGACCAGAGAGGGACAGAGAGAGAGAGAGAGAGAGAGAGAGAGAGAGCACATGCAAACTGGCAGGTCTGGGACTTGAACTGTGGTAGGCCATGAGGGAGTCCTATGCCCTTAACCACTACACCACCTGCCGGCCTGCTTTTTATTTTTTCTAGGAGAGGTTTTTTTACTATAGCATGTGTTCCCTTGCTGGAGAGACAGAGAGAAAGCAAGCAATCACTCCCCAGGAGGATGGCTACACTGTAATCCCTTCTCCATTCTCTCATGCTCTCACATGTGCCTGGTATGAGTTTCAAGAAACTCAGTCCGGGACTTGAACCTCAGTTGACTACGTTGGAGTCTAGCAATATACTCATTATCCCATCTGCTCATCCTGGCTTTATATTATTCTGGAAATAATTTTGACCTCATTAATCTCCTGCAAGGCCTTAAGAGCTACCCCACCCCCACACCTGCCTCTAAGGACCACATTTTCAAAAGAACTGCTCAATGCAAAGGTTTCAAAGAAATTTTACGTCATATAGACATTTGATTGTTATTGCAAAGTGACTATGACTGAACAGAAGTTCACCTTAAAAATGCAATAACAAGCAGTCTCATATTTCCACGAGCTGTGTAAATTCAGGCACAGGGAACACAAACATGTGCATTTTGTAATCTTTTCATCCTGTTGCTTTTTTATATAGCTTCAGATATGGGTTCAGGCCAACTCTCAGGGAACCCGAGCCAAGAAGAGAAGACTCTATAGTTTACTGGATTTGGATGTGGACAAACTACAGGAATTTCTGCTTCACTTACTCTCTTGACCAGTTAACTCTTGCTCACCTTCCCCTGCGAGTAGCCAACAGCATGTTACAGCCTCCGTCTTCCATCTCCCTTCTGTCTTCTAGAACTCATGAGTTTGATTGGATAAGTAACTGCATAGAAACATATCCATTACTGAGTTTATCACTGTTACATAGACAAGTAAATGATATTTAAAATGTCTTATCTAGAATTCCTTGATGAATAGTTATATGTGGTCATTTTTGGGAGGTCCTTTGAAGGGCTGGAATATATATTTCTGATTTTACTATTTTTTTTAACATCTATGGATTTATTTATCTGCTGTGATTTTCAAGCCACCAGGTCCAGAACACAGGACTTGAATCACAGTTGCCACGTGGGAACCCAGCGTCTTAGCCACCATGCCACCTGCTGGCCCTATTTCTGATTTTAAATAGTGGAACATAGGATCCCACTATCTGAAAATTCTAGCCACTGATCACCTTTTCAGAGGAGGGTGAAATTTTGGTAAAGAGGGGTGCCTCTATCTGATGTCCCATCCCACACATGTATCCATTTGGCCAAAGTTGTTTAAGGGAGGAAGAGGCTGCTATCAATTGCTGAGCTTCTTCAGTTGTTTTGTATCACTCGTGATGAGAAAGTATGTCCCATAAAATGATTTTTAACAATATTTGACATTTAAGTGTTATCTGTGGTCTCTGTAAGTCTCTAAGCTTGTCATTACTTTCACAGTATTTGATTTCCTCCATAAAAGTCTTAGATTCTAAAACCGAGAGAGCTGTGCAGTCATATGCTATCAATGTCAGATCGACATGCTTACTCAGTGGCCAAGGAGCAGCTTCATACGCCCTGGAGGCTGTATGAACTAAATTTGTGACTTAGGACATTTAAAATACAGGTGTTGTAGATTTCAGGCTCTCCTAAGAATAGCCAGAGCTGTAATAAATGTTAAACATGAGGGTTGAAAGTCTCCTGCAATGATGGGGGGAACCTTTCAAACCATGTACATCTTTCTCATCCTCCATATTTCTCCTCCCACACTTCTCAGATTAGGAGCCCATGGAGCACTCTTACCTGACTGTGTCAGGTATCTCAGGTGTACTGAGACAGAAGGAAGGTTGAGAATCACCATTTTTTAAATTATTATTAAGAGGTGTTTGCCTTAGGGCATTTGTGGATATCATAGAAGGATAGAGACAGTGAGAGGGAAAGTGAGAAATCACCCCCCCAGGGGGGATAGCCACGTACCTGGCATGATTTTCAAGCTACCGGGTCTGGGACTCAAACTGCAGTTGGCGATGTGGGAGTCCAGGGACATAAATGCTACACCATCTGCTGGCCCCAAGAATCACCATATTTTTAACCTCCCCATCCACTTCCAAAACCCCATGCAAATTTGAAAGTTGCTTTGCTCTTGTATGAAGAGGCATTTCCTTTTATTTGGAAGATTATTTGAGGTCGCTTTCTCTTTTCAGAGCAGACAGCAGTTGTTTCCATGTTCCCATCATTCAGAGATTATGAAGGCACATTCCCACCTTTGATATGCCTGCAGTCAAGTGAAGCAGACCCAAGTCAATGGTTGCAGTGTTGCATTTGAGTAGTCTAAAACAGGTAAGTATATGGCACATAGATGATCCTGGGCAAGGGAGGAATTAGGCATTGCTCCCAAGAGGTGATTTTTGAGCTCTTGTAGACATCGGGTTGATAAAGAAGGTCCATTCCAGTGCCTAGGAATCTGTGGCTGGCAAATACATTGTAGATGATACAAAAGATGGTATGAGTACCTTACACCTTTCTGTACTTTATGCCTTTCTCAGAAGTGCTGTCCTTACTTTTAGATGACGCTACTTGCTTTTTCTTTTTCTCCTCCCATCCTCCCAGAATTAGATGGATACTCTGGATGTGGAAGAAAGTATTAGGGCAGGAAACTTTCTGGGTGGCAGTTTACCAAGCTTACCAAGAAGTAATGCATATACCCAGTAGGTCTGTCTCTAAAAATGATGTTCCTGCTTTATTAATAAGTCCACAGCTGGGAAACCTGCTTTGTTGATTGAGTACTTTCCCAGTGAATGGATTATATTCTTATCTCCAGTCCAGTCTGCCTGGGTTTAAGAGCATCTCATACTCCTTTTAAGGAGGAGACCCATATTTAAGCTTAGGAATAAGAATGGGGAGATGGCAAAATTAGAATTGAAGTTCATACCACAAAGATCTTTTTATTGTTTTTTTTCTCAGCAACTTCATGTTCTTTGAATTAGCTTCAAGCCGTTTCATTTGCACAGTTCAAATAAGTGAGAGTTTAATTCCACCAGGATTTAAGTGAAAATAAAGCGGGAAAATCTGATTCTGTCAGGCAAAGAAAAGCAAGTAATCTGAGTCGGACTTAATTTTTTTCTGAGATTGGTGACAGCAGAAATTTGGCAGTCAAGTAGTCAGACATGATATAGGTGACAAAAACCAGCATCGGTTCAGTACAACTTAAAAATAATTACCAACTAAAGGGCAGTGTGTACCCAGGTCATAGTCACGCTCCTTCTAGGGGACTTCCTAAAGACAGAAACGACACTGTCTTGCTGGGGTCCTCCTTCCCAATGACAAATCCTTGTCTTTCATTTAGATTAACCATTGGTTGCAGTGATGTAAGCAATGTAAAGAGCTCAGATCTCGCAAAGGCTGAAATGATCAATGATCTTTCTCTTACTATCTTGACATGTTGAAGAACAATGCATTAAGTGTGGGACTTGGTCTTTTTCTGGAGACTAAGAAAATGGAGTCCTTGAAGTCAAGCTGACTCTGCGTTTAGCCTCCTAAATGAAAAGGTAGATAGAACAGGTCTTGCTTGCAAAATAAATCCAAGACCTACTTATCTACCAACAGCAATTTTATACTTTCCACGGTCTTATGACAGAACACAGGAACGTCAATTTATAGACGAGAAAGGTGGAGAAACAGTGAACATAGGTGAATGTCCCTCTACTAATTGATAGAAACGTAACTAGAAATGGGAGTTCTGGGAAGCTGAGGAGAGAACTTTTCTTATAGTGCAGTCTTCACAGAGTCCAGAATGTCTCTGGTAGCTGAAGCTCCTTGGATAGAAACCAGTATATTCTTGTTTACAGAATGCCACATCATGGTGGATTGTGCTATGGGCAGCTTCCAGTATGTGAGTTGTAGAAGATGAGAATTGGAACACATTTTGAAGGATGAGGAGTATTAAGAAAAAGACCCGCGGCCTGTGTGCATTTGTTCTGCCTTATTCTGATGACCAAGTAAGCACACGCCTTGGAAAAGACATTTAGCTTCAGCAGGGTGTACTAGCGAGGGTATATCATTTGAAGTATTTTTTAAAGGAGTTATTTATTTATTTAATTTCTTATAGGGCACATGTGAGAGAGAGTGAGAGAGAGAGAAAGTGAGAAAGCAAGCTGCCAGTTCTGGGACTTGAAACTTGATCAGCCATGTGGGAGTCCGGTGTCCTAATCACCATGCCACCTACTGGCCCCTAGAAGTCAGTTATTAAACATACACTTTTCTAAATTAAAGGCAATTTAATTCTCTCAGAAACGGATGCCATTTTATATCCTGTGTCTTTAACCAGTTTACCATTCCATCTAATAAGAGTGCCTTAAATTCGGAATATTCTGAATTACCAAACATATGTCAGTTTATACTAAGATTCTGTGGTTGTTTACTCTTGCCCTTCTGTTAAGCCAAAGCTTATGTTAATTACTTGCCTAAGAGTTATTCAGTAGTACAGGTAAAGCTAAGAAAAGGAAAGACTTGGATATCTGTTTTGTTTGTTTGTTTGTTTTTGCCACAGGGCAGTACACATACCTTACTTGAGAAATAGTGAGAGGGAAAGTGAGAGATCACCCCCTAGGGGGATGGCCGCACCACAATCCCTTCTCTTCCTGGGATTTTGGATATGCACACACATGCACCTGGCGTGATTTTTCAAGCTGCCAGGTTCAGGACTCAAACCATGGTCAGCCCTGTGGGAGTCCAGTGTCACAACCATTCTGCCACCTGCTGGTCCCAGCTTTGATATCTTTTGTCTTCACTGCCCAGTATCAAAAATGGTGGCTACAATGGTTTCATTTATTAAGAATCTTCTTTTGTTTTGTTTTGTTTTGTTTTAACAGATTTATCAGCAAGTTGCAGGTGAACATGGCCTTGAGGTAAATCCTGCCCCTCGTTGAAATTCAGCTGTAGATTGTTCATGGTATTTTAAGGAACTGGAATATTTAACAAAAACCAAAAATTTTATTTGGTTCTGCTTTAGACTTACTTTTTTCTTCTTGGAGTGAGAGATATTCAGAGAAGTTCTTTGTGCTATGTAATTGTGATGCTTGAAGTTGATTGTCTGCCTTGTTAAAATTAAGTAGATTTTTTTTAAATGTTTAGGACAATTATAGAGTTTTTTCTTGGTCAAATAAAAATTAATTAAAACTTTATAGATGCCATTTTTATCCATTTGTCCATGTTTATATTATAAATGAAGTAGTCCATAAAGCATGTTAGAACCATGCATTAAAACTTGCCTTATCTGTGATAGCCTGTTTCCTGCT